TTGGAAATTGGTTACACTAACTTCATTCCAAATATAAATGAGCTCGTGAAAACTTAAAAATAAATTTTTAACATTAAATGATACTTAAAGGTCATGTCTTGAAATTTAAATACTTGGTTAAATTCATCTTGTTTTATCGTTAGTGTTAATAATTGTTGAAAATTTTAAAGGAATACAGAAAGTATGAAAGAATTTTATTTAAACTTGTTACATATTATATAGGTATTGTTATTTGGTAAATAAAGATAAATATAATATATTATATACAAATTTAAAATTATTGTCTATATTTCAAATAATTTTCAAAGTGTTTTTTTGGACCAGGGAAGTTTGCAAGTTTCAAAACATCCCCCTCTTCACATGGAAATTAGTTGGTGACCACTGATATATAATATTATGTAATAATTTTAATAATATAGTGCCTTGCCTGAGTGAGCTCTTGTAAGCGATGGAGATCTGATTAGTGATTTGATCCTATCTCCTAAGAATTCAATATTTAAGTTTTTTAGTTGGTTATTACATAGATAATAAATAATCAAATATCTTGTCTAAAGTGTTTCAAATGATTCTAGAACTCTGATAAATTAAATCAATCAACGATTATAGTAACATGTAGTTATCACCGTGTTTCTAATAATATATTATTGTTCTTAGAGTTATACTAATTAATAGTTATAGTCTATGATTAATTTTTACATTTTTTATCAATACTCCAATAACTATTATACACCATTAGGGTTTGCTTTTTATTCATGCCATGTATTTATTATATATTTATTACTGAACCAATTATATAAGTTACCTATAATAAAATGTAACTTTTATTTTAGACATTGTATTATTGACAATTGTTATTAGAAATAATAATTGTTGTGGTTTTAAAATAATTTATTAAAACTCATATTATTCTACTTTACATTTAAATGCATACTGTATTAAGTTGTGTGAAAAATATTATACTTATGTTGAAAAATTATAAAGTAAAATCTAAACATCAAGCATTCAAATACATACAGACTACAATTTGAATCTCAAATGACTAGGTACTTTTTCATATTGGTGTGTATTTCATAGTATTACATTATTAATAAATAATATTGTTTGAAATATATTTGTAAATGCCTGTATTGAAAAATAAAAATAACCAGTTACTTTTCTAATAATTCACTCACATATTTTTATTTATTGGAAAAACCTGAATACTTATTTCTTAACTAAAATATAAGTTGACTAAGATTCTGAGTGTGAGAAAAGAACTGAGGAGTTCTAGTTTTGTACACAGTTAAATATTCTATTTATGATCATCATTTTGTAGTATACATAATGTACATTTTTGGTACAAGAAGTGCCCAAATTTAATTTTAGATTCAGAGCGGAGCGATGAATGTATTGATTTTTCAATGATGTATTTTTTTTTTTGCGTGTGTCAAAGAGTAATATTACTCTTATATAAGTAGTCTATAAGTCTCTATAAGTACTAAGTAGTCGAAATAATGCTTTGATTTTCAACTTTATCTAGTGACTTGCTTGTCAGGAAAGTGAATCTAGTTTGTCGCAGTAGTTTTTAAAAGCGCCGAGTAAAAAAAAAAATAAGGAAACCTGAATTTTACTCAAAATCGATTTTGGTTTTTGGTGTAACTCTAAAACAAATGACCGTAGACATATTAAATTTTCACTGAATGTTTATATTTGCATTAGTTATACTCAAAGTATAATTACATTTTTATGAGCGTTTGAAGTTCAAATTTGTACAATATTTTATTTCTCAATTTCTCACTTAAAGATTTCCTTATTTTGTTCTAACTCAAAAACGAATAATAATAGACATTTGAAATTTACACCATATCTTTATTTTATAATTTTCTATATTTGATAAAATTTTCAAAATATTTTGACTTGTTTAGGCTGCTGTTTACAGATATTTTCAATTTCCATTTTTTTAAGTTTTATTCTATATAGATGTCTATAAAATTGTATTTGTTGGGTAAAAAAGTTTGAAAATTTATTATAATGCTCCTATATATTGTTACAATAGCTGTGGAAGATATAAAAAATAAATAGGAAACATTTTTTTTATAAACATATTGACAAAATGTATCAAATTGAAAATTTTAAGATGTTCAAATTGTATAGCTAAGGATTGAGAATTTAAAACAAGGTTCAATGTAAGTAGTTAATTCTGTAGTTATTTTATGTTCAAATTTGGACAAAGTTAGATACTTAAACGAAGAAGAACGATTTTAGTTTTTTGTTACATTTAAAAATATTATTCGTTAAATTTCACTGAATTCAAATTTAACACCACCCATTACAGTGACCCACTTGTAACCTACTGCACAGCAGAGCTACAACCACTTGCTCACATTTTTTTAATCAGGAATTTAACTTTTATTATAATAATTAAAAATATAATTGGGTAAAAACGGCTGGAAATTAATAAACATAATATACAATAAACCATGCAAGTGTAATTGGTCTTAGAATATTTCTAAAACTACTGGCAGTTTTTATCCTAAGTGTTCTAGTATAGAGCATTTTGATTTAATATGGATAGTGACAGAGAAAATTAATAGTAAAAACATGCTAGGTTTGCATAGTGGTGAAGACAGAGCAACCGTTGTGGCATTGTACAAACCAATATATTCATGCTCTATCCAGGGACCAGGTTTTAGTGGGGGTAGGGGTGTCACACCCCCTCACTTACAATACCTGGTTCATTTTAGTCTGCAAATTTGTCATTTTGATATAGCGGTCGGCAAATCAGCAATTATGATTTTATTATAATTTATGATTATTTACAAAATTCAAATCTAATTTATCATACCTATGATGACCTAATATAATAGTAAATAATATTTAAGAACTACAAATGGGTAACAAAAAATATTTATATGATGTAAATATAAATATAATATGGTATTTCAATCATATTACTTTGCCAGTAGCATGTCATGTATGATAAATGGTACTCAGCAATTCAGCATAAATTATCAGATATTGTTGGTTACAAAATTCCATTCATTCCATGCCAAGCACATCAATTGAATACATTTGTTGAACAAGTGAATCTATCAAAAACCTGATGGACTGCAAGGGCTGAATGCCTGAATCAATTAAAGCTGTTTAACCAGAATGAGTGATAATAATATGGAAGTGGATAATTTAATAGAAAGTGCAATAATTTTTGCTAAAAAATTAAATATTAACCCAGAAGATTTTAATCAACACCATCGAAGAAGATTGAAGCCCAAAAAGGTATACTCGAATGCTTGTTCACAGTGCACAATCATTATAAAAGCTTTTTACAGAATGGAATTCAAAAAAGTATTTGATACATTAATAAATTTGTCTTTTGAACATTAAAAAAATTGTATGTTGATCAACCACTTGTGAACATTTTTAAAGTTCCATGGGAAAACAATTGTTCAATAGATGATTTGAAGAAAACTATGAAAATATTCCCTCTTGGATGTAATGAATCTAATATTTGTAATTATGATGGAGTTATAACTGAATTAAATATTTTACACCATCACTGTATCAATAAAAACCTTTTTAAAATTAACTGAAATATTTAAAGTATCCAAGGAATTAAAACACATTTTGCCTATTGACAATAAAGTATACAGATTGATTTTTACAGCACCGGTTAGTGCTACATCAAGCGATCACACCTTCAGTAAATTGAAGATGGTGCAGAATTGTTTACATTCTACAAAAGGAGTAGATCTCTTATGAAATTTTAACAAATATTAAACTGATGAAATTGATATTCATCTCATGGTGAAACATTGGGCTCTTCTTAAAGAAAGACGACTTAATATATTATAAAAATATTGTAATTTTGTTTAAAAATAAATATTCTTTTTAATTAACACTGTCTAATGATTTAGCAACTTGCATTAAGGGGCCTCGCAACTACCGTCAATTTAAGCTGAAAAGACCTTAAGTATTGACAAGTTAGTTAAGGTTGTCCGATTTTGATTCTCAAAAAAATTGAGCTTGGCAGACAATTGTCTATAGATCCTACGAAGCACTTTGTAAAATCTAAATTTTATATTATTCTGAACTGTAATTGAAAACTTGAAATTATCAACTTTTTCGAATCATAATTAAAATTAATATTAATATTAAAAACGGAAAATGTTTCTTACGATCTACAGACATTTTTCTGTTGAATTAAAACATTTTTTCAGAATCAAAATCAGACAACGTTAACTAACTTTAATTTTGTCAAAACAAATGTATGTTTTTGTAAAATTTGTGTAGTGAAATGTATATGGTTATCGAGATAATGACATGTACATACGCGTATGAGAGACGATACCCTCATTTAATTTCACTCACACTAATAATCATTTACAACTAACACATAGATCCCGGGTGGGGGTGGCTATGACAAAATTAGCCTAAATGTAGCCCTTTAAATAATGACAATAGCGAGGCCTCTTAACTTATTTAGTAACTTATTCTACCTAATTGCGGATATTATTAATTCATTGGATAGTATCTCATCTCAAATATCCTTTTTTCATGAGACGAACTAGTTAGATGTATTTATTAAAAAATTTACTTGAAGTATGTAAATTACGTGAGTCATTTAGTATGTTGAATAATATAGTCGTCAAATTATAGTGAATACACCCCCCTCCCCCCACCTAAACAAATTTATAGCGCCGGCCCTGGCTCTATCTACTGAATTTATAAAAACCCTTCTTTGTGCAGGATACAGTGCACACCTTCAAAATAATACAAAATGGAATTTCATATTCTATTATTGCTACACATATTTGTTCAATCGATGATTGGTATTTATAGATTTTGATCTAAAATTTCAAAATAAATAGAATTAAAAACTAAATCTGGATTGGGATTATTTAAAATAATTATGTGTATTCAATTTTAATTAAATTTATTTTATCTTAAAAAAAAAAAAAAAAAACATTTTTATAAGAAATATACAGACAAGGTGAAAAATTTTTTTTTATATATTTGAAGTGTTATACAACTCTTCTAACTTCAAAAAATCTTTTTAAATAATAAACTTGACCAACAGTCATTGAAAGCAATACAAACGATTCAAAGAATGACCACATCACAACACGTTTATTTGTAGATTCATTAATAGCTCTGTGATTTCTATCGCGCACATTCATATATTCTTGTTCGTGTTTAACACTGGTTAATGCAGATCCCAGATTTCGAAGCATGGTCTCTAATTTTTTATGTTCACCTTCTTCACCAGCTGTAAAATTATAATTATTATATTTTTATTATATTTTCATCTAAATAATGACACAATTAGGTATATGCAGAAATTGACAGTCTTGTTATAATTATAACATTACAAAGTAATATGCTGTTTTATAGTGTTTGGATAAATGCTAACACAATACAATAGTAACAGGCACTATACTCTATTCAGTTTAAGAGTACACCAGTTTGCCCATATGCTACTGCCTGCTGTATATTGCCGGACCCCCTGATTGATAATTTGGAAACAATATACGCCATACGCCATTGCCGTTTCTGCTGCCGTAAGTCGGACACCCAAGACTAATAATCGGTAGTGGGGAGATATGCAAGTACACAAAGAGTCCATCACCCGGAGTACTCTTAAACTGAATAGATTATATCACTATAGCACCATATGAGAATTGCATTTAGACAGTAATAATAATGTTTAAGAGGACGTTACACCAACATTTGTTGTCTCCGTCTTACAAGTGCGTAACATAGCAAATTTTACGCTCAACAGAACACGTGTATAGTCTGTCCATCGAGAAAACGCTCCGAGCACCGACCAAAACTGGTTCCCCACGCAACACCCTGTCATAGGGGAACCGGTTTTGATAGAAAGGTGATGCGAGGGGATGAGCAGAATCGGCGAGTTCCCTCGCTGGACAGAGTATAGCTCCATTACTTTAAGAATTAGAGTGAATTTACCTCGTATAAAATTTAAATGTAAGATTATTATCCAAGCTTTATATTATATTTAAATTTTAAAGCGAGTTATTAGTATTTTAAAATTTAAAATTGTTTATGGATCTTAAAATACTCATAACTCGCTTTAAAATTTAAATATAATAAAAAGTCCATGAGATTGCCGAGATAAAAATCTTACATTTTAATTTTATAAGAGGTTAATTCACTCTAATTCCTAAACTAATAGAGCTAAAAGTATTTTGCTGAGCGTACAAGTTGTCATATTACACACTTTTAAGACAGAGACAATAAATGTCAGTGTAACATTAATGCCAGGTGATGATTATCGACATAGACTTGTAGGTACTCAGCATTTAATATATATAAAAAATTCATAAATGTTTAATTTGTTAGTTCATTAGTTTTTAAATTAATAAAACAAATAAATAAACAACAATATTTTAATTGCAGTAGTCACCCTATTTTAAAATTGAAATATAAAGCTAATTTATTCAATTGAAAATTACTTGGACTATCTTTTTCTAGTTCTACTTTTTCTGGTTCAGTTACTTCCATACTGAATAGAACTACTTTTGGTGTCATTGTAGACATTTGATTACTGAAACAGTATGTGTATGCTCCTTTCTTAGTGGCAGCAAATGTATACTTTCCACTAGACTCCCTCAATCCTTCGTATATTAATTCACCATCGGGATCAATAATTTTGACATCAATATCCAGGAAACCACCCTCAGATATTTCATACATCAGACCTAAAAAAAAATGAATAAATATTACAACAATAATCAATAATGTGTGTTTGGTTACTACACATCCGTGTAAGACTGCAATGACAAACAACATACCCAATTTAGAGCCGACTTCGACTTTGTCGAAAAAACATTCTTCAGCGTGAGCGTCAACGGTCAAAAAATAGCTCAACCCTTGTTGAAATACGCTGAATAATGTAAGGAACTGAGTTACATACAATAGCGGTTTCTGCATTTTTACGCTACTTTTTATATTCGTACACCTACAAATGTATCAAAATAACATGACATAAAAATTAAAAATCTAAAATTGTAAAATGATTTACTTAACGATTTACATTACTCTACAACTCACCAACATAATATTCGGTGTTGGTGTTATTATCATCGTTATCGTAACAGTTTTGATATGATACACGTCATCGAATGAGTGAATGACCGTATAAGTTATACCACACAGAAGTTATACTCAACCTAATCGAATGTCCTTTTGTACGAAATTGTATGATCTCCTGCATGGTTTCATACAAACATCGGCAAAATCACAAATTATAACAACATTTAAGACGTATCGAATTCTTAACACATAACAATTTTAGATTCTGAGCGGAGTGAGGGATCTAATGGTTTTACAATGGTCTTTATTTTTTTTTTTTTATCCTATATACACAATTTCTACCAAGAGTTCTTTGATTTCAACATATTGTATCTTATCTTTTACCAAATTAGATGATGATGGTACTTTAGATAGGTAATTTTTTGATTTTCTCATTAGTTATTTAATGCCACGGGAAAGAATCACGGACGTTTCGCCCCCGCCGGCCGCCATTTCGTCCCCGTCAAAAAAACCAGTCCACGGACGTTTCGTCCCCGGCAATTATTGAGATAGGACATTTCGTCCGGGAGAGTTATTACTTATTAGCCATAGGACGTTTGGTCTCCGGCATATTTTCATTAGGTATAGCCGGTATAGGACATTCAGTTCTCAGGTTATTAATTATTACTTCAAAGTTCATTATTTTACTTACATTTACTACATTTATTTTTAATGAACAATTCTGTAATGTCTAATATACAGTGTTGTAAAGTATTTGAGTAAAAGTATTCAAATACTTTTTTCCGTATTGAATATACTATTAATAATACTATTTTATTAAATACTTTTTTTTTATTCTTTTAATTCTTAATTTGTTTCCACTTATAATTATTCTTGTTAAATAAAAATACCATGACGTCGTGGTTTTACTTTAACATTATAACAATGTAATATTATATATTTATTTAATTACCTACTTTATTTTAAGAGTATTTGATACAGAGAGTATTAAATACAGATGTGCAATGCGTCTGCAACGACTGCAGTGATACAAAAACAAAATGAAATAATAAATGTACCGAAAAAAAGTTAGTTTTAAGGAAAAGAAATTGCAATCATAATATTGTACGGGAAATATACCGGGGACCAAACGTCCTATCTCAATAATTTCCGGGGACGAAACGTCCGTGTACTGGTTTTTTTGACGGGGGCGAAACGGCGGGGGCGAAACGTCCGTTTACCCACGGGAAAACCCACCGACGAATTACAAAAAACCACTAAAAATGGGATTTTACTTCTAACGCTTTGTTTATCACCATAAAAACGAATAAAAATAAAAATAACGATTTAAATTGTAATATTTATAATATTAATTCAACTTACAGTCTGTAATAAAATATCTAGAATGCCAAACCGTCTCCGCTCAGAATCGTTTTTCGTATAGGTATAATGATATGATATCATTCAATTTAGATTTAATACAATCTATTATACAGTGAACCACTTGTAACCTACTGTACAGCAGAGCGACATCCACTTACCCGCTTTTTTTAATGTATAAAATTACTCTCATTGTCAATAAAATGATAATGATCAAAATTTTAATTTACCGTTATACCCACAGATATATAAAAATACTAGATAGATAACTTGGAAATGTTTTTGAAGCCAACAAAATGGCCGAAATTCTCTTATCTAAGAGGTGAATGTTTTCATTTTCATAATACTGATAAAGATATTATTGTTATTTAATTTGTCATAATATGATTAATATTATAAATTATAAGTTTAAACTTTAAAGTTGTATAGTTAGTTCATGATGTTAATAACTTAACTTACTTACATAAGTCTTAAATACATATTATCAACTTTTAGCTTATTCAACAGTTATGTAAATTATGTAATAGTGCATGTGAATATTACATTATTTTATAAAAATTTGTTCTATTGTAAAATATTTTTAAAAACAATCTGAATTAATTAATTAAAAATTTTACATCCATTTATTATTTTTGAAAAACTATATTTAAAATCAATAAAACAAAACTGGTATACTACCTTGTATAATAATCATAAAATATTTAAAATTAATAAAACAAAATTTGTATCTATACTAGTGCTACATATTATAGTAATAAATATAAAATATTTCAAGTAAATAAATCAAAACTAGTATATTAATTAATTTAATAATAATACAAATATTTAAAATAAAACTGGTACCTATAGTCTATACTACATATAATATTTTATACCTATTATTGGTTCATAAAAATTATTTGTTTAGTTAATTTTTGTCTTTTACCTTTTACTAACAGGATTTAAAATTTCTGTTGAAAACATTTTGCCAAAAGAATGGAGTCGAATACTTAGATATTTTTTTAACTAATAATGAAATGAATATCATCTTATGGGGTCTATCTAGCAAAGGAACATTATCACATTGAAGTGTATAAAAAATATTATTATCGAATGCAAATGTATTATTACATAGGTTTATTATTTTTAAATCAAGATTTTTATATTTAATGTTTGTATTTGATTTTGATGTGTGGCTTCACATACTCCTATACACAACAATGTCTTACCCTAAACTATAAATTCATTAATAAAAATCATTCTTAACAAAACTAAATCATATTTTACTAATATAATTTATCATGAGTTTAAGGATTGAACTTTTGGTCAAAACTTATGAACTGCATATTGTATTATACCGTATGTTTAAAGTTAATACAAGTAAATTCCATCCTTTGTATGGTTGTAAATAGTGATGTTAAACTGTGAAAAATATCTATCACACTGTGAATTTGCTACTGTGATAATATAAATCACAGTGAAAATAGCAGTGATTGCTACTTTAACTGCTACTTTTTACTTTCACATATCTATTGGCGATTTAAAGTGATAAGATGTTACTGCAGGTACACTGTGTATCATTTATATGCGTAGCACGCCAAAAAGCCACCCGACAAATAACCACCCGACATAAGGCCACGTGATAACGACAAAAAACCATTCGACAAAACGCCATCACCAAAATCCGACAAAATGCCACCCGACAAAAAACCATCGTACCACACTACCAACCGTAAATTTGCCAATGAAAATCGTACACTAATGAATCGTCAAAAAGCCACTCGACAAATAACCACCCGCCATAAAGCCACATGTAAACGACAAAAAGCCATTCGACAAAACACCATCATCATAATTCGACAAGAAGCCACTCGACAAAAAACCATCATACCACACTACCAACCGTATAAATACGGTAACATTATCGTATTAATACGATAAAAATATCGACAAAATGTCACTTAAATTAATTATCAAAATGAATTAAGTTTTTGGCGCTTGATTTGAAACACTAATCAGATAATAGATATTAAAATTTAAAACTCATGTCTCATGGCATAACATTTTAAAATGTCAGGACTCACGTCGTTAAGAATTTTCTTCAGTGCTTCAACATTTTCAAGTTACAAGTTGCGAATTATTGTTGATGATTATTAAATAATGTTCGATATATTTCAACATGAACAACTAAATTATAAAAAAACGTTAAATCGAAACGTTTAAAACCAGAAAGTAAGTACTTCTAAATTCTGAGTGGAGCGAAGAATGTGGCAACGATTTTCCGATGTGTTTAATACTAATTTTTTTTTGTCTGTAAACACCTTTCAGGGGGGGCACTAATAACTATAAAAACTAATAACGCATCAATTAAAATACATTTTGTACTATATATACTTTTCTTGTAGAAAGTGAATCTAGTTAGTATACTTTGGAGGGTAAAAAGTAAGACATTTCAGTAATTTTTAAAGGGGATTGGTTAAGAAAAAAAAAAAATATGAAAATTGAAATCTTTTGGTACCTAATACTTTTATATTTTTTGGTGTAACAGAAACTTTTAACTTTTAAGTATATATAAACGTTGTATATAAGTACTTTAAATTTCACCAAATATTTATATGATCTTTATCCATACATCATATAATTTTCAAAATATTTTGACTCTTAATGAGCTATTTGTAACCATCAGAAATTTGCTTTCAATTATCGTTATTTACTATATATTATATATAATATATTAATATATTAATGGTTTATTTAACTTGCCAGTAAATAAAAAATGTATTAGTTGATATAATTAGATGATACCGTTATATTATTATTTATATTATCTAATAAATATATAGGTCCTTAATACAAAAACCATGTGTTATTGTAAAAAAAGGAAAATACTCGTTTGACAACAACTTATTAGAGTTGAATATATTAGTTTTAATAATAACATTTAATTAATAATATAATAATTGAACAAAACCTTTGTCACAAAATATTTATAAAAAAAAAAAAAAAAGATTACAATAAACAAATAAAAAATAACATAACATATTACCTGAGTTAGGGCAATATGTTATACAGTTTTTATATAACTTAATTAGTAATTAATTACAATATTTAAAATGTATTTTTTAGCTACATTATTTCATTTTATGAAACCTTAATATTTGTCAATTATTTTACATTTCTATATTAGAGGTACTTATCAATAGATATAAAATTAATAAATTAATAAACTGTCGACTGATAAACAACTTACAACTAGATATAGAACTTCAAACCTTACAACAAATTTGAAGATATCAATAAATTAGTTATGATTGTACATTTGTACCTACAGTATAATTACACAAAGAAATTTATATTTTATATATTATTTACATTTCTTGTTCATCAAAATATATTAGCATACTTATTTTTATTTAATACTATATAACATTGAATACATATAATTAATACAGTGTATTAGTTTAAACAAAATCTTGGTCACAAAATATTTAATTAAAAAAAAGATTAGAATCAAAAGTGAGAATTATTGTTACCTTAGTTACATTTGAGTAGTTAGGGTA